AAAAAAAATTTTGGGGCCCGGATAGCCGAATAGAGCCCATACCAGTCATCTCAGCCAGTATGAAAGCACATAAGACACTCTGAATTAGCATGATCGGTTTCTTGAGACCACATCTGTATAGGTAAACTTCATATGCAATCCTTTCTGACTTCATCGATGTTTTTAGGTGCATGAAGATTTCGTGTTGTTGGAGACTGCAGACTCGTGTCGTGTCAAATTACCGGCCACTCAGGTTGGCAATCGTTTTTCCAACTGTTTCCCATGTAGCATGAGAATCGTATTTCTCAGATATCAAAGAAGTTCACCGAGTTATTGAAAAAGGAGCGAATTTCATTGGATTCATCTTTCGTTATTGGACAGATGGTCCCATTTCGCGTAATGCAGAAGAGCGTAGAAACGGGTGGGAATTTTGTACCATGTTCATAGTTTTGGCTATAATTTTTGAGGTTCCATTCCAGTTACTAAGAAAAAAAGCACGGATGGCAAGAAGAAGTCATCTTCTTTGCCGATTGTGAGCTGTGATCCAGTTAAGCTCAACGCTCACCTCTCTCCCGCTAGGCTCGTGCCTGGTCTCGTTCTGCATGCTATAGTTGATAGCTTGGAAGAAAAAGGTAGCTTTTCCCTATCTTCGATCTATCGAATTAGATGTATGCTGAATGTTGTTTTTAAGGGGCTTTACTTGACATCGGTCTCCAGTCTGTGCAAGCCTTCTTACCAAACAAAAATCAGCAGCGAACTGTCCAGGAGGGTCAGCCTATAGTCATTCGTATTGAAACTGCGAAAACCTCGAGAGTGGTTGTTGTTACTTCTTTCGTTGAGCAGGTATGTAGCAGTCTTCTTGATAATCGGCGGTTTTGATTATTTTTTTGTGTCTTTTAGGACAATCTCAGCACAGAGGCATGTGAGAGCTTGCAATTGAACCACCTGATGCCAGGCACAATCATTGACTGCGAGCCAGACCCAGAGCCTACAGTCACTGCTGGGGTATATGTTACTCTGGGTAATGGTGCGTTACTTTCAAAGTCGCTGGATCATCACCGTAATTTCCAGCTTGTCATTCGATGTACTTCTCACCTAAGTCAGGGCTCGGCACGCGTTG